CAGGGATGTGTCTTGAGTCTTCAGTTTCTGACAACACTTTCTTCTGTGGAAAGTGGGAATTTGGTGTTTTTCTTCTCTCTCACCTAGACCCTGTGTACCTCTTTCTGGTACAGTTCCCGTGATTTTGGTTAAACCGGTATTCGGTGCTTAGGCTGTTATGAGTAAGTGTTCTCAGCTAATCCATGGAGCAGGTGGCTACACCTCGTTTCTCTCACAGCTTTGTGTTTTTTCCTGGGATTAATTGTCTTTTTTCATTCACTTAGTTTGCTGTGTCCTTATCAATAATTCATCCCTGAAAGAACGAACCCCTCCGGTGTAGTCAGGTGACCTGTCAATCAGCGTTTCCCTCCTGGCAGCGCTGCATCTGGACGGGCCTGGGCCCTGGGCCTGTTGTCCTGGGCTCGCGCTCTGGGCGAGCTGAGCCTGGGCTCCGCGCTCTCCTGTGCTCCGCACTCTCCTGTGCTCCGCGCTCTCCTGTGCTCCGTGCTCTCCTGTGCTCTGTGCTCCGTGCTCTCCTGTGCTCTGTGCTCTCCTGTGCTCCGTGCTCTCCTGTGCTCGTTCACCTGCCTGCTTATAGGGCGGGTCCTCCAGTAGCGCCTGTGGCTGACCGGTTGTCGGCCTGGCCACGACTTTAGGTTGGACCTGTTGTCACTTAGAACTCGAGGGCTTGTCCCCTTCCCGCCCAGCCCCTCCGTCTCCAGCCCCTCCGTCTGCACCCCTCCTCTCCGCGTCCCGGCCTCGGCTTGGTTCCCATCGCCTTTCTGTCCTGTCAGCCCCGCCACTCACCCAGGCGCTGCCGCCCAGCAGGCTTGTTTCGCTTCTCCCTGTCCCTGTGGGTTTATAACTTTTTTATTCCTTTCCTATTATTTTAGTGGGTTTCAGGAGGGAGTAGAGATCATTGCTGGTGTTTACGTTGTATATTTTACTAGAAATATGATGAAATAATTTTTATGAAGATACTCTTAACAAAAACATTCCTGAATGTTGTTTCCAGAACAATTAATCAGATGCAAAGTTAACCTTGTGTATTTGCTTCTGTGATATTTTTCTTCTCATTGTTTCCAAATGGTCTATTTATTTTAAAAAATTTACCCGTATAATTCCTCTTGGTTTGGGGACTTCATTCTGTTTCGGATGGAGGTCAGGGTGGAAGCTAGTATTTAGGCGCCTGCTCTTTGTCAGAGCCTGTGGGGGGGCTTTAAAGTGCCGGGTGAGCGAGGAGGTAGACACTTCCCTCCTGTGGGTGCTGGGGTCCCGTCTCCAAGGGAAGGTCCCCCCACAGTGAGCAGCAGCGCAGGCCTCGCGTGCGGCCTCTGCTGAGGCTCTTCACTCTCTTCACTCGCACCTTCATTCATGGGTAACTGGGGCGTGAGAATTTCCAAGCATAAAAGTGGGGAGACAATAGTACAGTAACCCACCATGTACTTGTCAGTTACCAACATTTTGCCAGTCTTTTGTTCCACATACTCCATTTTCAAACCTGTAAATATGCTTTAGTACACTAGTACATTTTTCTTTTCTTTTTTTTTTTTTTTTTTTTTTTTTTTTTTTTTTTTTTTTTTTTTTAAATATATTTTATTGATTTTTTACAGAGAGGAAGGGAGAGAGATAGAGAGTTAGAAACATTGTCAGATGCCTCCTGCACATCTCCCACTGGGGATGTGCCCGCAACCCAGGTATATGCCCTTGACCGGAATCGAACCTGGGACCCTTTAGTCCGCAGGCCGACGCTCTATCCACTGAGCCAAACCGGCTTCGGCTCACTAGTACATTTTTCAAAACATTTTTATTGATTTGAGAGGAAGGGAGAAGGAAAGAGAAACATCAATGATGAGAGAGAATCATGGATTGGCTGCCTCCTGCACACCCCCCACTGAAGATCGAACCCGAAACCCGGGCACGTGCCCTGACCGGGAATCAATCCGTGACCTCCTGGCTCATAGGTCGCCGCTCAACCACTGAGCCACGTCGGCTAGACTACATTTCTGGTGTTTGAAAGGGCTTAAAAAACACGCGTAATCTTAGTGCCTTGACTGTATTAGTAAAATTACAAATGACTCCTTACCATGGCATAAAACCCAGTCCGTATTCCTATTTCTACAGTGGGGTGTTGACGTACCCCAACATGAGCGCGTAGCATTTGGCCGCTACGTATTGCAAGGCTCACGTCTGTACCGTCCCTCCTCCCCTTTCCCTACCACCTGTGGGGGGAGCACCGGCTCCTTGTCCCGGGTTTGTGGGGTTGCTGCTCCGTGGGGGGCACCGGCTCCTTGTCCTGGGCTTGTGGGGTTGCTGCTCCGTGGGGGGAGCACCGGCTCCTTGTCCTGGGCTTGTGGGGTTGCTGCTCCGTGGGAGGCACCGGCTCCTTGTCCTGGGTTTGTGGGGTTGCTGCTCCGTGGGGGGGGGCACCGGCTCCTTGTCCTGGGTTTGTGGGGTTGCTGCTCCGTGGTTTCCCTTCACTGTCGCCCTGTCCCCGTGTTTCCTGCGGACGGGCCGTTAGAGCTGGTGTGTGATTCGTTCAGGTTTGCTTGTTGCAAGAACGCTCTGCAGTGGGTGCTGTGCGTCCTGCTCCGTCCACAGGCAGGTGATGTCCTGAGTCCCACTTGCCGTGACGCCACGTGGGTGTGGGTGTCGTCACTGGCCCCGCCTTCAGAGTTCCGAGGCGTCCACATGTCACCTGCTGATTCAGCCCCGCTGACCGTCGGGTCCCGTCCAGGGCTTGGTCCGGTGCCTGGTGAGGTTTCTAACTGTACCCTTTCCTCTGCATTTAGTAGCTGTGGTTCTTCTACGACGATTTCATAACTGAAGTCAGGAAGACAGGATTAAGGACCAACTCCCCGTTGTCAGTTTCGGGGTCATGAGCTGCTCCAGCCGCCGCCGTGGTGGTGGGTGCAGGGCGTTCGGTCATTCTGAGCTCAGGGCTGTTCACGGATGCGACCTCGTTCAGTGAGTGACGGTCATTCCTCCTCCCGATGCTCACGCTGACCCTCAGTGTCCCCGTTCGTCTCCGGGACCTGTTTGCTCCCTGACGAGGTGGCTGGGCTCAGCCTGGGCGCCCCCCGAAGGGGAGGCTGCAGAGACGGCCGCTGGGCCCTTGGGGGTTCCGAGGAGCGGACTGTCCTTGTTTCAGGCGTTTTCACTGAGCGGCCAGGAGGCACATTTTTAAGAAAAAGATAAATCCTAAGTTTGTAGCCAGGATTCCAACGGAAACATCAGTGATTAGTTTCTCTAACTTGGCCCCTCGGACTGTGCCCGTACCGCCCTTACACTGGACACCTTGGATCCAGGCCTCAGGAACAGAAGTGCCTTTTGCTTCCTCCTCATTGTGCAGGTGGGGCAGCAGTAGTTCACATGGAAAACAGCACAGTAATTGGTCCACAGTAACACAGGAAGAAGCTGTCTTTTGCCTACTCACAACTGTAAACCTACTTTTGCCCACCCTGTATATGTGACAGTTTGAAAACTACAGTGTCCGTGTCAGTGCCCGGATCGTCCTTCGTGCGCGTCCTGCTAGAGGTGCGGCCACACCGTGCGGAGTAGGTGCTGAGGTTTTCCGTCTGTCCTTCCATTGTTCTTCCGGATGTCACATTATGTCCTTGCTAGGTAGCAGTGTGTATTATACTGTGCTGGGAGCGTTGTTTACGCTGCTTTCCTGGGAAGGATCTGTCCTGCGATCACGCCTCATCGGGGCACAGGTCTCATGCCTTTAAACCAGGGGTCCTCAAGCTTTTTATTTATTTTTTATTTTTATTTATTTTTATTTTTTTTTATTTTTTTAAATTAAATCTTTATTGTTCTGATTATTACATTTGTTCCTCTTTTTTTCCCCCATAACTCCCCTCCTTCCAGCTCCCACCCCACCCTCAAGCTTTTTAAACAGGGGGCCAGTTCACTGTCCCTCAGACCGTTGGAGGGCCGGACTATAGTTTAAAAAAAAACTATGAACCAATTCCTATGCACACTGCACATATCTTATTTTGAAGTAAAAAAACAAAACGGGAACAAATACAATATTTGTATTTGCATGTGGCCCGCGGGCCGTAGTCTGAGGACCCCTGGTCTAAACAGCTGCGCGTCGCCCCTCGTGGGGTGGCGTCTGCCCACCAGCCGCCCTGGGCCAGCCTGTCCGCTGGGAGAGTTTGACACGGTTGAAGACGTTTAACACTGACTGTGGTTCTGTGGTGCCGAACCCCAGTCATCAAGAATGAAGATGGTTTTCATGAAGAGAATGTACTCATCTAAGACCCTGATTCACTTTTAAACTTTAGCCATTTTTGATGGAAACCTTTTACATCTATTACACACTTTTACACAGTTTAACCCATATTTGTCTTAAAGGAATGTCTTTGTTATTGTGCTGAATTCACATTTTCTGTGGTTTTCAGGGTTTCTTTGTCTTCCCTGAATGTTCGTTCGCACTCATCAGTCTTACGTGCCCAGGTCAGCCTGCTTGTGGGAAGGTCTTGTCCGCTTTTTCAGGGCCTGGCTGACCCGTGGGAGCCTCTGATTGATAGCAGTCCTGGTGCTCACATGGATGGTGCTTTGTTCTGTGTTTACCAAACTAAAATATTTTTAAATTGAGAAAATATTGCATCTGCATCCTTTAAAAAAATATGTTTTTATTGATTTTAGAGAGAGGAGGGGAGAGGGAGATGGAAACATCAATGAGAGAAATATCAATGACTAAAATATTTTTAAATTGAGAAAATATTGCATCTGTATCCTTTAAAAAAATATGTTTTTATTGATTTTAGAGAGAGGAGGGGAGAGGGAGATGGAAACATCAATGAGAGAAATATCCACGGGCTGCCTTCTGTGCGCCCCCTACTGGTGATCAAGCCTGCAACCCGGGCCTGTGCCCTGACCGGGAATGTGACCTCCTGGTGCATGGACGACGCTCAGCCGCTGAGCCACGCCGGCCGGCAGTGCATCTGTATCTTGTTGTTTAAATCTTTGTAATACCTAGTTAGGACTTTTCTTAATGTTTTCTCTTGAATCAGATGTCCTGCCTTACTCAGTACGGGTCCTGTTGGAAGCTGCTGTGAGGAATTGTGATGGCTTTTTGCTGAAAAAGGAAGACGTCTTGAACATTCTGGACTGGAGAACCAAGCAGAGCAATGTGGAAGTGCCCTTCTTCCCCGCCCGCGTTCTCCTCCAGGACTTCACGTGAGTGACAGCCTTCCTCACGAGCGCATTTTCGGTGTTTCCTTTATAAAGCTCCCTGACTTTAATTTTGAATATTAGTTTATAAGTTTTTAAAAATTGCCCTTTCTAGCCCTAGCTGGTTTGGCTCAGTGGACAGAGCGCTATTTTTTTAAAAATTGCCCTTTCTAAACTGAAGCAACTCTTTAAAAATTAGGCGCTTGTTTCCTGTGTTATTTATTTCCAAACTACTTCTGTTCAGCTGCGTACTTGTCGTCTCCACCAGCTCAGGCTTTTCAGACTTCAGGTCACACGTGATGGCCTGCCCCTCCCTTCCTTCCAGGCCTTGCCCATCGTTGTGACTGCAGGGTGGTCTCCGTCTGTCCAGGCAGAATCGAGGCCTCCCCCTGCTTCCTGCTTCCTCCGTATGTGATCCAGTCCGTGTAGACCCGAGGCCTCTTGAATGGCCTGCCTGCCCTGGTGTCAGGGATCGTCGCTAGAAGAGGTGCCCTTTCGATGGTGTCAGCGGAGGCGCAGGAGCTAGCAGGCAGAGAGCACACCCTCATCCCCACGGGGACGGGTCTCCTGCGCTGCTCTGGGCTCTGTCGTTGCTGCTGTCACGGCAGCCACTGCTTTATCTTCCCTGCAAAGTCCTTGAGAGCAGCACCCGTCTTGTAGGGCCTCGCACCCCGGAGGCCTTTGGTAGATGCTGTTGCCTGGCGGCTCGGGGGGGGCCTGTGTCTGTCGTGGGTAACGAGGACCAGCAGGAGGGCACCGGGCTGGGAGGGCCTGGGCCAGGGAGCAGGCGGGGTCCCATGACATCGAAGGCCGTCCCCGAAGTCCTCTTCTGTCTGAAGCTCACCTTGTGTGTTACTTTGGGCACATCTACCTCTGAGCACTGAAGGTCTCGGATAATATCCTGTGTGAACTCATTAACCCAGGTGCTTCCAGCTTTGGGTTACAAGTCCATTGTCAAGCACGAATGCAGACGAAAAAGGGGTACTTATTTTTTTATTATTTTTTTTATCTTTTTAAAATACTTTTTATTGATTTTGTTGAGGAAGAGAAAGGGAGAGAGAGAGAGAGAAACATCAATGAGGAGAGAGAATCATTGATTGGCTACTTCCTGCACGCCCCACACTGGGGATCAAGTCCGCAACCTGGGCATATGCCCTTGACCGGGATCGAACCCGGGACCCTTCAGTCCGCAGGCCGACGCTCTCTCCACTGAGCCAAAGCGGCCAGGGCAGGGGTACTTGTTACATACAGAAATGCGTGAGTGCATCCTCCTGGCGGGAGCCTGTGTGAAGGAACCGTCAGAGCTCATGTGCCCCTTCTGCTTTCAGGGGGATCCCGGCCATGGTGGACCTCGCTGCGATGCGGGAGGCGGTGAAGACGCTGGGAGGGGACCCTAAGAAAGTCCACCCCGCCTGCCCCACAGACCTCACGGTCGACCACTCTCTACAGATCGACTTCAGCAAATGGTACCGTGGTGCAGAGGCCGTGACGGCAGTGTGCAGGCGGCGTCACCCACTGGCGTGTGGCGTAGCGGGAAGAGGGGGGAATTCATGCCGGTTTCCCACGTGTAGTGTGGCTGACACGGAACGAGAGAAGCTGGTGACAAGTTCAGTTGTGATTTCTTTTGCTGGGTCTGAATTATTATCCTGTTTGTATGTTCCTGCTGCCACTGTGGGTGGAAATGTGCAGGGAGCCTAGAGCCTGCCTTTCTGGCTACGACTGCAGCTCCATATCCACTCAAGGAAGTTTTTTCATTTCCTTCCAGAGGGAATAGGGAGACGTGAGCCATGAATGTCGTTCATTAGTTGGTATTGAAAACACTGAGCTCACTCCCTAAAGCTCTGGTTTCCTCCACTGGAAACGTTACATTCAGAAGGGCCCTTGACCATAGTCAGACGAGAGAAGACGTGGTGCTCACGCTCGCGGGCGTCCTTGGCGGCGGCTCCGCCGGGGGTGACGGCACCTCCGTCTTTCCCAGTCGCTCCCCTGGGACAGGAGCGTATGGACACGGCTCTACCGGGCACTTAGGTTACGTTTTCTCCGTACGTTGAAGTTACCCGGTTCTCGCGTGTGTGCTTTTGTGACCTGACATTTGCGTGGCTGGTGTGTGTTTTGAAGAGCTAAGTGTCTGTCCCTTCTAACTGGCTTTTGTTCCCTTGTTTGGAACGACAGTGCGATACAGAACGCGCCCAACCCTGGAGGCGGGGACCTGCCGAAAGCCGCCAAG